TGTGAGAATGACTTTAGTTGTTGTTTTGCATCATAACTCTGCGGAGGAATCTTGGAGGGGCTGCAGAAAAAGGCTCCCTGAAGTTGGCCCGGACGGTTTTTGGTTCCAAAAACTGTACAGCCGACATTGTTTTGACGCATACAACGGTTTACATGGAGCCACTGAATGTGAAATGGCATTTGCTGACAGATTGCCGTGGTCGCTCAGTCATCGCTGAGGTTTTTTGTTCGATTGCTTCCCGATATTTTGGTATTTCACGACCTCCGACACATCATCGTCGACATTTGCAAAAGCAATATCGGTGCTGACTGCTTGCACCACCATAAGTTCATTCAAAAAGTTTCAAGATTGTCTATCAATGAAGCAAAACTCGTTATTTCAAGGAATCGCCATTAAAGACAAAGCACCACTTGTTCTCGGTGGTCTAACTGGTAAGCTCGGTGCGGAGAAAGCCCGCGTTCGACTTCGGATCTGATCTTGCGGTTGTACTTACATAGCGAAATGTGGCCATGTGCAGTAGAGTATGTCATTAAGTAGTTTCTATTTTTATTAGTAATACAACATTGTACATAATAAATGGCTGGCACATAGTCTATGGAAAACTAGTACGGATCGATCTGCCAAGAATGCGATTTGGCCGATGCAACCGCCGTATTCAGCGATTTCCCCAACTAAAAGGCAGATCGATCTGTAGAAGCACCTGTCTATGAATCGAAATACTGGATAAGAACCTGTAAAAAGTACACTGTACACAGTAGATCACATGTAGGTTTTCGTGAGCGATTAGAGAGATTTTGAGATGACTATACCAGACAATTTCCGAAAGAAGTTGAGAACCATGAGGAATTACACGATTTTCACCGGTGACAGTACATAGTACATACTTCAGCACACAAATGATCACATAAACATTCGATCAATAACATGCTTGATCGATTGACGCTTCATCAAGAGAGTCAGGGCTGACGAAGGAAAGGTGTCACGGTCATTTTTCGTTTTTTATATCGAGTATCTTCTGAAGATTTTTGGACATGTAGTACGGTTTTTCAGGAGTTCCATCGTTTTGTTCAGAATCTTCCACTAAAATGGCAAAGAATTTTGATCTCCACGAATCAACTGATGGAATCAATAGTTTCACTTGTTAAATGTCTTTTTCAAATGGGAATTACTTACGGAAACAAATGAATGTTGTGTCGACAGCCATTTCATAGACATCAAAGAACAAATCTGCCACGAAGTAGCTTCCTAAAAGAATTTCCTTTAATTTTTTATCACGATTAAGAACTCGGTGTTAACCCAACGTTTGGAACGCGCCCTACATTTGACTCCTAGTGAGGATTGCACATGCATTGGATTGCGTATTTTTATTGTACAATAACTTCTTGGTACTGACAAGTACCGTAATCGATGCTGTTCACTTACTAAACACTGCTTTAACCGGTAGGTGATCTACAAAAATTGAAAACTGGGTTTATATGGACCTATCGTGTGGGCCAAGCCACAAGTGGATTCAGCGAACTCTGCACCGAATTAGTGAAAATACAAAATTCCACAATCAGAAGTACTAAATTCTTATTTGTCTCGATAGTTGACGTACTGTAAAAAATATTGGGAGATGAACAAAAAAGGATGAATGGAGGTTGCGAAAAGGAAGGTGCGCAAGGTAACGCGCCCCGTTGCGAAACAGTGACGCTTGGTGTTGTCATGAAAGTGGTAACCAGTAGCTGGCAAGAAGTCAAAGAATTTCTGCTTCTCTGGGGATGTATTCAATTAATTAACGAATCAATTTGTGAATTGCTCGCTTGTCTTTTTTGACTTGTAGCCAAGGACATGTTCATTTCTTGGCCACGACGCTGCCTTCTTTCAAAAAACGAAAAAACAAAAAGAAAGTAGGAGATGAGAATTGAGAAATGCCAAAACCGTGATGAGGAGTAAGCCTTGAAATAGTTATGAACCATAAAAACAAAGGAGAAAAGAAAAATATCATACCTATTAAAACGAGTACAATAGGTACAAAATAGTAGTACAATTCGACCCGAGGTATTCCGTCAACAATCCATTGACCGGAGAAATAGAAAAATGCCACGACACCTGTAATTTTGTTATAAATAATGGGTGTATTAATTATGAAAAAGACTTCAAAAAATTGAAATCGAAAAATATTGAAGTGAAGTTTTCAGAAAGAGTAGTTGAGAAACGGAATGAATTTAAAATTCGAATTTGAAAAAATTAAGAATTGAATTTGAAAATTAAAAAACTTAAAAATAAAAAACCTGTGTTTGAAATTTTTGGAGAATTTGAAATACTTTTAGTAGTCTTTCTGGTGAACATGCAACATTGCCGCTCGTCGCTCGCAGTTCCTTTACGCGGGAAATCGAACGAGAAGTTGCCGCACAATTTAGTCGCGTGCGAAACGCGGCGAATTCCAATTGGGGCTTATCAGTAATTACGATTTGTTTCAGAAACAGAAACCACAAGTAATGTAACATGATTTCAGCACAGACATCGGGAAGATGATAAAAAATGCTTCGAAAATTAGTAAAACAGGAAGAAGAAGGCTGAAAGGGACTTTGGTAGGGTCCTTCAAGGTCCGGCCACAACTGATGGGTTTATTGGCCTTGTTCACCCATTTGATAGTTTTTATTTGAGTCATTTTGAATCTGACAAAGCTAGGGACCAAGATAATTACGAGAGAGATGAGAGAACTGTTTCTTGGGAAATCTTCTAAATGTTCCGAATAATTCTCTCGGGGCTTGACAGATGGACGTTGCTGTCAGACCTCCTTACCGGGGTCAGAATAGCATTACACTGAGTATCTCAAAACAGGAATAATATTTCAATTTAATTCAATGAATTTCAGAGAAAAGCGTTACCAGACCGTAACAAGGCAAGCGAAGCGGATGAAAGTAACTTGCCCATTCCGAGAGTGATCAATGCTTTTCCGATAAAAAGTAGTATTCCAGCAACTTGATTCACTACAGCAGCCCGTACGCAATTCCTTACAAGAAGCAGGAAGCTCTCCTTAGCTGATGTGAAGAAGTTCTTGCCATAGATCGCCATCTGAAAGTAGGTAGTGAAACTGAAAATTGCGAAAATTGACTTTTCGAATTTCTTGTAGAAATAGGTTTTTCCTCTGAGGTATGCTCAATTTCGGCTCTGAGAATTTTCAGGGCGGTCATCTTAGAGTCAGAACAAATAGAAAGAGACCAGGAACGGCCCAGCTTCTTGAGCTGGGCCGATTCAATTACATAGTTGTACTTCAAACTTTAAGAAAGGATGAGGTATCGAGTATTGCGACGAGACCTCTGAAGCTAGAATAGAAATCTACAACCCCTACCCTCGACCACGTCCCCCTGTTCCTGCAATTTTTTTTNTTTTTTTTGCCATTTCTCATCCCATGGTTTCTCATCCCATCCCCCTGATCACAAAATTGCAGGTATTTAAATGCAATGTTCCAACTCGTCTCTTTCCCCATGTTCAATTTGGATAGATAGTTTTTTGAGATGAGTTTTGAATTCTGAACTAATCGATAACCGATATGGTTGACTCACCATAATGAAAGCATTCTTCGTAAGGAACTTGAAGAACACTTCTAAGCACCAGAAACAACATTTGAGAGCCCTGAACGGTAACTATTTCATGTAATCTAGAAGTGTGGAACGAAAACTGGTTGAGCACGACTTTTCTTTGAAAAAGATTGAAGATCAAATGATTGTCATAAAGAATCAACTCACGAAAGAATGACTTTGATCACAGTACTATTTGTCGTTGAAAGTTTTTTATCCAAATACTCCAGTAATACACGGATGAGCTTTATAACAGCGATTATCAAGGAACCAAAAGCCAGGGAACCCAAATTGTACCTGAAGGATAGATAGGTAAGTATTGAAGTAACGTAGGAATCCCGTTATTGTCTCAAAATAAAGAAGAATTGAAGAGAAAGCTGCCAGTGCCAAATCCAGAAATGAGTTCCACAGTGTTCATGAACTTACCTAAGAGCTCGACCGAGCGCTCGTAAAACCGGAAATGATGGCACGTCCTTTGGCTTGTTCCTTGCCCAGTAATAGCTGGCAAATGCACCAGCAAGGGAGATGTCACCTGTAAAAGTAGGAGTAAATTCCTTATTTAGACTTATGAATCTGAAAATTTGTGCGATCCAGCTCATTGAGGGCTGAAGGGTCAGCATTAGCAAGGACTTGAGAATACTGGGTCGAAAGATGGCAGTGAATTGAAAACCCGAAATAAGTAGGAACAACAAAGGCCTTTCAAAAAACATTCGGAAATCGAAAAGACGGAAAGCGGATTTCTCGATATTTCACAAGCATTTCTAGAAAACTATCATGTAGTGGAAGCTATGTAGCAGATCGATTCCATGAATGGAAAGGGGGTAATACTCTACTTTAGGAACTCTTTATCAGTTTTACTGTACAGTAGCTGTAGTGTGACATACCGAGTGCCGAGACGAAGCACATCATCCAGAAGAATGCAAACAGATTATAGACCTGCAACCAGAATATCGTCTTCTCCTGTTTGACGAGGCCAAGAAACACACAGTTCGGATCCTAAATCGGATATTTTACTAATAATAATAAGTAAGAAGGTAAAAGTAAGAAAAAGTTGGGTCAGGAAAAAGACATTTGGGTTGAGTGAAGGCATTCATGCATCTTGATGTACTGAAAAATGACAAACACGGAGAGCACCACCATTGGAACTTTGCCATTCTTTTAAAAGAATCGGGTTTCACAGTCATACTGGTTTCTTGTAACAGTGGTTCTAAGGGGTCTTTAGTAACGGACCTGTGTTCTTGTGGAACAATCACAAGTTGTGTTTTGCCCATCATTCCGTTGGCATGTTTCAACTCCCGATGAAGCCAACCATATTGCTATTGTGCCCCATAGTGCGATTACCTGTAAAATTAATTAGTAAAGTACTGGTTTCTGCAAGCATAGGACAGTAGCCACTCACAAGTAGATGAAGAACGAATGGAAAGATTGGAAAGATTAGTGTGGACATCATGTGGCCTACTGCTCTGAAATACAAAGGCAAATGTTCTAGATACTTCGTTTTTATTATTCGTTCACATACTCGCAACTTCGAGTTCGTTTCAATGATTACAATGGTAATTGTATTTCTCTACTGATACCTGTTTAGTCTACCGTTATTTGACTCCAAAATCGAAAAAAAGTTCGAGATTCTAGGAAACGGAGAAGTGAACGGAGATAAAGCAGCGGCGCT